GACAATATATGTCTGATTTTACCTAGAAGAGCAAATGCTAAGAATCAAGTACTTGGCCCTGTGATTCAGGAGGTTGAGCCTGGGGACCTTGACTGCTTGTTTGGATGCTCCGAGAAAACTACAAGGAGCACTGGATGGAGCAGACAGCCTTCATTACTCACATTTCAGGGGGCACTTACAGCAGCAGATTGGGAAGCAGGACTCCACCGCCCTGATTTCCAGATGTTTTAAGGGGTCCTGGCAAAGGGGGCACTGTCTTGCATGTGACTTTAAACTACATGACCTCAGTGTGTATATGCAGAAGAAAAAGGTCAAGAAGCAGTCACACAGGACAAGAGGTTGCTCCCAAATGGAGATGCGGAGGGAATTAGAATCCATTTCCAAAGCAATATATACACTTTCCTTCTGGCCGGGCACCTTCCACCCAGCCTTCCATGGTGGGGTTTGGAAGAGCCGTGTCAGGCATGATCCCACAGTTCCCTATTAAATTCCAGTCAATACAACAAAAATGAATATTACACACCAGCACATTTTTAAAGAGGGCTATTATATTCCTAAAAATAATTATCTTCCTATTATTTTAATTTTTCTCATTACCAGTTTATTTTTTCCCATTTGCTAAACTCCATAAATATCTAGGCCATTTTTGTAACATCTTATTGTGTTATCAACTTCTTCTTCTTAATAAGAGAATCATTTGTATTATATAAGGTATGGAAAGAGGACCCAGATTAAAATTCTTAATCCTGGGATATCAGAGTGTTTGCCAGTAATTGTACTTTCAGCTTATACACCAGCAAGTTGCCAGGGAAAACCCGTGCCACCTCCCCCTCCAATATCTCCTGCAAAATAAATTTTCACTAGTTCCAAGCATTTCTCTAGTCTTAAGACTGATTTCTTTTTCATTCCACATAACTATTATTCACCATTCTTTTAGGTCACAAATTTAAAAAATAAAATAGAAATGAGGATAAAATAAATTCCAGCTATTTTATGATATACATTGTAATACCATGTTCTTTTATACTAAAAGCAATAAATTTAAGAAATTTGTATGAATTTTGAAAGTTAGCACATTGAAAAATCATTTTAATACCTGAAAAATAACTAAAGAAAACATAATCCACTTTTTTAAATAATATTATAAATTTATTACACAATATGAGGAAGTATGGATAAATTCTACTTCACGATATGACTTTAAAAAGTGTTTTAGAAAAGTTTTTAGAGAACATGGATACAGTGGAGTGCCCATTAAATTTGTCTCTTTCTGCAGTGTCTTCTATGTCTTAAAATTATTTATTAGGGGAGAGAAAAACAATTTATTTTAATTATTTATTAATATTAAAATATTGATGAGCATTACCCAAATGTAACGGGATTCCAGCTGGTGCACTGGAGGGAAACTGCTGAAATGCAGCCAAGTGAGGGGCATATATTAAAAGAGCAGAACAAATGACTTAACAGGGTCCTAAAAGCAGCAATCAGAAAAGGTTCATTTAACTTAGAGATGACACAAGCTTCAAGCAATTGCCTCTACTTAAGTAAGTGTGGAATTACAAAAGGCTATTTATTACAGTCCAACAGGGCTCTGCAGTTTGCTCAAAGACCTTTGAAGAATTTCAACAGTTATAAAGTCTTGCTCAGTGCAGAAGCAGTAAAATTTGGGCATATCCCCAAAACAGCCTGCAAAGCTTTCATGAAAAAGTTAATAAAATCCTCACTCCAATTGTTCTTTGAAATGGATTATTTTCTCTTTTGCTTTAAGGAGAGATGCTATGCCTTGTAATTTTCAAAGTTTCTTTGAAAACATATTTGAACTGTTAAGGAAAATAAAACAGTTTCAGGGTGATAGAGAATGAATGCAGGGTCTCCACATGTTTATTGGGAAAGTTTTCCAACATTCAGCTTCTTGGAAATGCTCTGTAAGCATGCCTTAGTTACTCTATAATGGGTTTACTCCAGCTGGAAAATTAGTGAAGTTTCTCCAGTTTTTGTAACAAAAGCAAAATTTGGTTCCAATTATATTGGGGCAGAGTTATTTCTCTTTTTTTAAAGATTTTATTTATTTATTTTTAGATAGGGAAGGGAGGGAGAAAGAGAGAGAGAGACAAACATCAATGTGCGGTTGCTGAGGGTCATGGCCTGCAACCCAGGCATGTACCCTGGCTGGGAATCGAACCTGTGACACATTGGTTTGTAGCCCATGCTCAATCCACTGAGCTATGCCAGCCAGGGCTGGTTTTTTTCTATTAGCAATTGGAAAATTGATTTTTTAAAGTATTAGGGTAAATAAAAAATAGTTTTCAATAATTTAACAAATGTGTTATTTATGATTCAGTGATATGTGTGTAAGTATTATGTTTATAAAATTTCAACTAAATAAACCCAAAGTAAATTACCCATTGCTTAGAATCAGGTTCAGAGCTGCAAACCACCACAGGGAGAGGGATGGGGATGCTCTGAAGCCTTTTTGGGTACAACTCAATGATATGGAATAAAATAAAAGCAAACATGAATAGTAAAAGATGTGTCACAAAAGGATATTAAGCGCTGCCCTAGCCAGTGTGGATCAGTTGGTTGGAGTATTGTCCAGTAAACCAAAACGTTGCAGGTTCAATTCCTGCAGGGCACACGCTTAGGCTGCGTGTTCAGTCCCTGGTCCAGGTGCCTATGAGAGACGACCAATCAATGTTTCTCTCTTGTATCATTTTTTTTCTTTTCATCCATACCTTTCTTTCTAAAAAATCAATAAGCATGTCCTCTCATGAGAATAAAAAAGAGGATGTTAATTGCTAATGGAAGCAAGTGGTAAATAACAAAATAAATTTACTTTTCCATCAGAAAAACAAGACCAACATTTTTCCTTGACAAAAGGTTAGGTAATCATTCCCAGACCAATCAATCAAAGTAATGATGCTTTAATTACAAAAGAGTTAATAAGAAGATTTTCCATATAACAAAAATAGAAAATTTATTGCAATAGATTCTTCATTTAAGTTTACATTTTCCAATAAATAGTCACAAGGCAAGCTTAGTGAAACTGTTTTTAATAGAATAAAAATTCTTCTATTAAAGAATTTAATAGAAAGGTATTTATAAACCAGAACGATTTATTTATTTCTCTATTAATTATTTTGTATTGTTGTTCAAGTATAGTTGTCTCCATTTTCTCCTCACCACTCCCCCATCACCACAGCCATCTCCCCTTCCCACGCTCAGTCTTACCCTTGTTTGGCTTTGTCCATGTGTCCTTTATATAAGTTCCTTCACAGCACTTCCCCCTTTTCGTCCCATTATCCCCTCCCATCTCCCCTCTGGTTATTGTCAGTTTGTTCTTAATTTCAGGTTAGATTTTCAGGTCTCTGGTTAGATTTTGCTTTCTTGTTTGTTTTGTTGATTTGGTTCCACTTATAGGTGAGATTATACGGTATTTCTCTTTCACCGACTGGTTTATTTCACTTAGAACAATGCTTTCCAGTTCCATCCATGCTGTCACAAAGGGTAGGAGTTCCTCCTTTCTTTCTGCTGCACAGTATTCCATCATGTAAATGTACCATAGGTTTTTGATCCATTCATTTATGGATGGGCACTTAGGTTGCTTCCAGCACTTGGCTATTGTAACTTGTGCTGCTGTGAACATTGGGGTCCATAGGTTCTTTTGGATTCATGTTTCAGGGTTCTTAGGCTATAGCCCCAGAAGTGGAATTGCCAGGTCAAAAGGCAGATCCATTTTTAGTTTTCTGAGGAAATTCCATACTGTTTTCCACAGTGGCTGCACCAGACCAGAACAATTTAAATGAGAGGTTGGATAGACAAAAGTTGGCATGTGATAATCATAGAAATATCAGATCAATAAATCTGCTTGCTTTTGTGGAAAACACAAAATACACAGCTCTAATCTAATAATCATTGATTTCAGGAAAATTTATAAGAAAATAGGTCCTTTAGCAATGAAAAGAATTCAACAGTTAATACACCCAAGAAGTCTTGATTTTATTCATACTTGTAATTTATTTTGTTGCATTCCATTAAGGCAGAATGCCACTGAACCTCATGTGGAATATTTCAGTTGGCCAGTGGACCAAGACTGAGATTTGAAACCAGAAGTGAATTGACGAAGAGTATACATTTATATTTTTAATGGAAGGACTTGAAGTAGGATATCACTTAATATATATTTAATCTTCCATTAAAAATGAAGGTGACCCTATGATATCTGATCCAAATGGATGCTCTTTTATTCATATTCATATTCTGGATAATACATAATGATACATAACAAATAATTGAGTCACCTGCCAATAAGATACTTAACAATATAGCTTGAGAATTATGGTATAAACAGCAGTCATTTCCTTGGTAGTTATTTTTAAATATTTTTTAAAGAAATAAAACATGTAAAAGCAAAAGATCCTTACAGTTTCCTGATACATACTTTAATTCATGAGATATTTTTTCAGAAGTGAAGATATGTCCTAAATCCTATCTATTTTGGAGTGCACTAAATACTATTATTACCTATAGATACCATGGGACTCCTTGTGTGTAATAGATTCCAGCCCTGTTACAAAGTTGCATATGAAAATGTTATCAATGAGCTGAGGAATCTGGCATTAATAACTTTGCAACATTATAACAAATAGGTAGTCCTGATGTTTTGTTCGTATTTTAATATATCAAATATATTTCATTGCTTACATTAGAGTAGCATATTGAAAACATCTGCTCACTTGCCACTATTCCACCAGCAGCTGAAAATCTCAGCTCATTTTCCATAGGCCTGTATGTACCAGGGCTATAATCCAGCTGCTGAGGCTTGATATGGGGCCAGATTAATACTCAAGAGCCTTTGAAATGGAAATAGTGCTTTCTTGCCAAAGATTAGAACAATGATAGACTCCATTTGCTGCTCCCTTCGCTGTCTGCTCTTCTTTACCACCCTTCAAAACCTGATTAATTTGTTCCCTCCTATGATCCCTTCCACCCTCTCTTTACAGCTCCATCACCTGTCATGACAATTAAGAAGGACCGGTCATCCAGAAACAGCATCTCTTTATCCTGGCAAGAACCCGAACACCCAAATGGGATCATATTGGACTACGAGGTCAAATACTATGAAAAGGTGGGGAGACCATATGATAGGGTTGGGTTGTGTAAGTAAAGAGGTTACCTCCTCATGAGCTGTGTTCTTGCAAAGACATGAATGGCATTGCTAGGAAGTGGTAGTGCTTTGTTTAAATCTGTGATGTGTGATACTTTTGATTTATAAGTAAAGAAGGGTTTAGATATTATAGTGTAGAGTATCCCCCATTCTATATCAATGAGCCACAGCAGAGATGTCACTATCAAATTTAAGCCATCTAGTGATGCTAGTAGAAATGACACTCATGTCTTTTTACATAAAGACCTATGCCATACCAACTATTTCATAGTGATTCCTTAGCTGGTAACCCATTGATGAATTTTCCTTAGTTCATTGCCTTAAAGCATCATTACTTGACCTTCCCATTCACATGAATTTTATTTAATATGATGGGAACATTGAACTAATAACAAAATCCCTGTATTATTATTATTGAACTGATGGAGAAAAATTTTCTTGACCTTGCACAAGGAAAGTTAGAGCATGGGAGTGGGTGTATAAGTCTACTTCACATTATAAAATTGTAGCTCAGTAACAAAATTATAAAAAGCAGTTAGATGGTTATTTATAAGTAGAATTTAGGCCATGATATTTCATTATTGAATAGTACTTATTTCTCCCCAGTTGTAAATTACAGTGAGGTTTGAAAGCTAGGTGGATTCAAAATTTATCATCAGAGCTCAATGCTTTTATAGTGATTAATGTGAACAAAACATATCTATGTATTTCTTGCAGTTTGTAAAGTTTGCAAAGCAAATTAAAAATAAATTGTGCATTATATAGTATTTTGTGATTAAAGAACACTTCTTCATACATTATTCAATTTAGAGTGACCTGATAACACTGTGAAAGTGGGCAAATATGCTATATTTGCAAATAAGAGAACCGCACTGGAAGTCAGTGAAGCTGCTTGAATCTCGCAGTCTCACTGCTAATGAATGTGAGGTCTTTGTTTGGAATCCCAGCAGCCACAACTTCTCACTATGTGTGTTCTCTTTGCATTACCTACCTCCTTCTACATGACAGTGGGTCGTTAGAAACCTGAGACTTGTTGGCATGATCAATTGCAGGGAAGGCAAAATATATGAACATTTCTTTGCAAATGTAGGCATTTTCTTTACTGAAGTTAATGTATTTCACAAGTATGATGCCATTTTTCCTTAGCCCTCCCCCCCACAGAAAACGATATATCTCTTCCATTAAAAGGAAGTGAGGCCTAATGAACTTCATTGTGCTAAATCATAGTTTAAATGAGTTATCTCATAACTTTCAGTGATCCTGTACAGTGCTGTCCAATACTCATCCAATCACGATCTTCTATTTTTAAACGTGTGACAAGATAGCTTGTGAAGACACAAGAATCCATGTTACAGATGATGCAACAAAAAAGAAAATTAATGATGTGCCTCAGTTCAGATGGAGTAGCAGAACAACAAAGCACTCAACCTTTAGATCTACGGGGCTGTTTAAAAAACATAATGAATCTACATTTTTATCTTTTTCAAATATAAAAAAATATTCTGAACTTACTTTAAATTCCACAGCAAATCACAATATGTTAGATTATTTTTAAGCAATATTAACCAGTGCATGAAAAAAATGGATGAATCTATTTATTTTTCCCTAGACATTTTAATATTTGATACATATATGTGATATTATTATATATAGGTATTATCATACATAAATTTTGAAATTATTTCCCTATATATGATGCTTATAAATAATGTTTTACTAGATTCCAAGCTCTAAGAGGGTTAGCTAAATATATTTTTAACAAATAAATAATTTGTCTATAAATTAAATATATTTTGACCCTTGTCATTATTAAATGTATCAACTCCAAGTCTATCTAAAACATAACCAGCATCTCTAACGAAAAAGTAAGTGTGACTTACCACCTTATTTCTGCAGTGATCTGTCTAGTGTTGGCTGACTGCTCTGTATTACCTACTCTAGACCCCACTCCACATACAGAAACATTTCTCCATTGCTCAAACACAGGATGCCCATAAAGTGCTCAGTTCATATTAATATATGTTAGAGAGAAAATGTGATTCTATTTAATCCAATTTTTTGTGAAAAAGCTTGACACAAGAAGACTTTACTATTAATGTGTAGTGTGAATTCCCTAATGCACAATGTGAATCTCCTACAGGAGATCTTTTTTGAGAAATATTTCTAGACTTTCATCTGGAGATTTTTGTTTCTATTAAACCATTGTGACTTCAATTCAATGAAAGTACAGTATAACTCAGTTGGTTCTGAGGAAGTTATTAATGTAGAGCTACATATAGAAGCTTGATCTTTTTAAATTTAATATTTTACAACTGATAAAATATTTCCTATCTGAGAAACAATAGGATATTCCTATTAGGTTTAGTCAAAAAGAGTATTTTCCTTTTTATAAATTTATTCTTTGATTAGGTTGAAAATTTCAGCCTTGTTTGAGAACAGATTTTTCCTAAAGGACTCACTAATTGGTAAGAATGAAAATTAAATTTCCTGTTTTATGTGCAGGGCACAAATTATTATATCCAAATTAGGAAACTCTGTAAATATTTTTAACTTAAAAATGCCGTCAGAGAGTGAAATAATTATCATGTCTCTTTTATCTGTTCTTTACTCTGTATTAAATTGTAAAACAATTGGTTTTGAGTGGTTCACCTTTTTATCATTTGATACATTATGAAGATTTGATTTTAACATGATTTTTCTTACCTCAAAGCAGGAGCAAGAGACCAGTTATACCATTCTAAGGGCAAGAGGCACAAATGTCACCATCAGTAGCCTCAAGCCTGACACTACATACGTATTCCAAATCCGAGCCCGAACAGCAGCTGGGTATGGGACCAACAGTCGCAAGTTCGAGTTTGAAACGAGTCCAGACTGTATGTACCATTTCAGTGGAGTGTGATGGGGGGAGGGGAAGTGTTGCAAAGGTGTCTGATGATTCATTCTCACTCTCCTAAATTTTAAATAAGTGCGATACATTGAAAGTATCATGGCTTGGATGATCTGCATAGCACTGGGTCTGGGCATTGCGTTTTTATAAATGTACATTTGTGTTTTTTTCTCTTTTACAAACCAAACATATTGTAATACCTGAAATGTTTCTAAGTTTTTATAAGTCATAAATTGCTTTCAGGAACATTAAGTAGTATAGTAACATACTTTCAGTACCTGTTAATCCAGATATTCCAGGTTCATTGAATAATTCAATTATGTACAAAAAAAAAAAACCTTTCTAATCCATGAGGATCTTATTTTGTTTTAATTTTTAACACAGTCAACTTTGTATTACTTGAAGATTAAGGGTTTTTTTTTTTAATCTGATGTATCATCTCATTCACATCCACAAGCAATTTGGATAGTCCCATCTGTGTGACTAAAGTTTGACTAAAGTTTGACTAAAATTGGTCTAAAATAGGCAAACATTACTCCAACAGTTTTCTTTTCTTTGAATGCATTTGCTTCATATTAGAAGAGCTCTCTGCTAAAATATAATTATTAAAAGGGTAAAATCATAGCCATGGTACTACTATAAAGTGAACACAAGTTAACATTCTACTTAACTTAGTGAGACTAATAAACATTTAAAATTGGTTCAAAGGAAAAATACATATGCAAACATATGTGTGTGTAAGGAATCAGGAATGCATAAATTTGATAATAGATCCCAAACTGGCTATCCTATATGAAAATAAATGAATGATTAGGATTATCTCATCTAGAGCACACACCAATTATATCTCTATTGAATTAATTGTTATTGTAGTAATTGTAATGGGAAAATCATACACATCCTTGTAAGTTCACTTCAACCTAAATCCACAGTTGTAAAATAGCCTAGAAAAAATAAAAAAAATTAACTTCCTTCAGAAACTGCTTATCCAGGGAGAATATAACAATTCCCAGCCCTTCACTTAAAAGAAGCCCAGTAATCTCTTTTGACTGTTCTAATTTGTCATTTTTCCCTGGGAACTATATTCTCTATTATATAATTATTTTGTTTATGACTTAAAATTACATTGTTATAGGCATGGTAATATTTTATGCCCAAATTTTATACCTAATAGAAACACTGAGGATTAACAACAACAAAAAAACTGTTTAAGTAATATGATAGGGTAAATATCTTATGTCACACTTTTGTCAGACAATTAGAAATTCTGCTTACAAAAACAATCTGTACATTCTGTGAAGCACTGAGATTCTAAAGGCCTTGGAAGTCATTGTCTGACAGCAGAAACCTAATGATTCTATTTGGAGAAGAACTGCCATTTTCAAATACACAAATCTGTACTTTTCACCCTCAGCCCATCTTCCTGTGATGGAATGAGTAGGGAAAACCTCTCTCCAAGGACACTTGAAGGAAAATGCTGTAAAATACCATAGAAGTCATGTGAATAATGTTTAAAACAAATTTAACATTTTAGGTAACATAGTAACAAAATATAATTGCAATTTAGCATTAATAATTAAATCTTTTCATAATGTTTATGCAGTACAAAGATAGTTTCTTGCTTTGAAATTATTGTAGATTCTTTTAATCATTTTTATTTTGTTATTAGATTTACCAAGAATAATCCCAAATCATAGAAATAGATAAAGCAAATGTTTATCATACCCTGTGGTATAAATTAGGCATACTGAAGGCAGTAAGGTCAGATCACCATTAGATAAAACTTTATCATGTTGATGCATTATTTTGGAATGTCAGCCTAATCTTGTATGTTCTTAATTAGCACCATCCCTATCTGATAAGTGCATTTGTAACAGCAACAACAAACTTCAAAATTCTGACACAGTTACAGGTTTACCACAGATATCGCTATGGTGGTGTTACACATGAGCTTCTAATGAGGCTTCAGTGTCTGAGACTTATGAAATATTCCACTTAAAATCTATAGATTCTTAGGATTTTTGCTAAATAACTTTTATATTTGTATTACTTACATTGACTGAGAGCAGATAAAAACAGGATAGAAAGAAAAATACAATCTTTTAAATATCTCCCTCTTCAGTTATAAAAAATAATTGAGTTGCACAGTTTAATTTAAAAATATATATACATTAATTTACTCTTATTGCTTCACCATAGAATCCTTCCAGATTTTAAATATAGATGAGAAAAAAAGTGCCCATTGTCTTAAGGGGAAAATAATAAAATCAATTCTCACCCCATTTTTAAAAATCAAAATGATATACAGTTGACTCTTAAACAGCTTGGGAATTAGAGGTGCAGACCACCTGTACCGTCAAAAATCCACAGATAATTTAAGTCGGCCCTCTGCACAGGCAGATTTCCAACCACAAATTGAAAATACATACTCATAAAACACTCTAAAGGTTTACGACTCTTATTTATTATATATTGACATTTAATAGATATAGAAAAATCCTGTGTTTAGATTGCTTTAACAGTTTGCTGTTTGCTCTGGTTTTTACTTTTTAAATTATATTAAAAATTCTCATTCATAACACAGGTAAATATTTCTTAGTCAAGTACAGTATATTGTTTACTTTTAATAGGAATTGAGATAATATTTTCTGAACTTGGTTTATAGTAAAGAAATGGAGGCACAGTGATTATATATATATATGTGTGTATATACATGTGTATATACATATATATATGTGTGTATATATATGTGTATATACACATATATATGTGTGTGTATAGATATACACATATGTGATTTAAAATGCCTTACTTTTTATATATCACTGCTTTGCATTTATTATCATGCCCCTTTAGCAGGTGAGGAAACAGAGGCATAGAGAGATTAAGTAAGCTTTCCAAAGTAACACGTCAAGTAGGTGATGGGTCTGATTCTAGAACCAATATATTTACATGACAATATAATATAACATTTTAATAAACATTTTATTTGATCCTGTTCTACAAGCTATTCAGATACTATTATTTTTTTAACATATGGCCTATGACACAGATGTATATGTCTTTTTCTGAGGTTGCACGGCTAATAAGTGGAATCAACAAACCTACAGTCTTCAGAGTGTGGACTACTGCTGATTCATTGCTGCTATTTTACATGCTAAGAAAAAAAGATGTTAAACTAAGACACAAAAAATCAGAATATATAAGAGTCAAGGGACTTTCCAATAGTAGAGGCAACATCCACCAAACATGTTTGGGAAAGCAGACAGTCCATCTGTCTTGAAAACCTCAGCGGGAAGAAACTGTATCCTCAGTAGGATTTTTATGTTGATTGAATTATTATTATTATTTTTATATAGTAGGTGGTGTGTGTGTGTTTTGTTTAAATAATAGTGCATAATTTGAACATCCAAGGAATCCAAGGAATCTGAAAAGTAAAAATATATGGAATAGAAGTGAGTTTTGGAATTGAAGAATTCTATAGATATTGTTAAAAAAGAAGATGAGTCCTAGGGGCAATTTAATTAGCACTTCTGAATGCTTCCTACCATTTTTCCATTGTTTTTACTAAGCTGGTATGCAGCAAATTTAATCTCTTGGACCCTAGTATTAGGGGATGTTAAAGCAACTTGACAAAGGTAGAATGGAATGTTATATAGATAATTTTGAATCCCAAAATTGTTATTCATATGTAATTTTGTAGAACATAGCATACTTTTTCCAGTTTTCTACTGAAAAAATGAAATACTAAAAGCAAATAACATTTATTAAATGCTTAGTATGTGCTTCACACTGTTCTACATGATTTACTTTATTAACTCATTTATTTAATCCTCACAGCATCACATTATGTCACACAGCAAATAAGTACAAAATTCCAGGCATCTGGTTTGGGAGAGTAAGCTCCTAACTAGCCTATTTTAGGGAGAGAAAATGGGCACTATGCTACTTGAGACAGGGGGAGCAGTTTAATTGATGGACAACATATTTAAATTGAATTTCTAAGATGTAATAGATACCAATTTTTAACAGTATGCCACATAAGGTTATTAAGCAATTCTGTAACATACATTTAATCAAGATTAGTCATTCAAATATTTGTTCATTTCAGTAACAAACAATGATTTGATTTTTGTATGTGCATTACATAGTCTCTGGGATTCATGGATATGTAGAGCTAGCAGAAATTGTAGAGAAGTTCTAGTTTAATCCTGTCTTTGACCAAAAAAAGAAATGGAGACTTCTTTCTTCTCTCATGTTTCCCCTCCCAGTTATACTGACCTTTATTTTAAAAACTGGCTAAAATTTACTAGCGAATTCAGAACTTGCTGTTCTTTATAAGTTATGACAACGTACAAAATGAGAAGCATGAGAGAAATATTATTATATGTTTATGGAGCATTATTGAATCCCTAGCTTATTTTACAAACTATACACAGATCTATGGTTAATGGATGTATAGTTCAAATCTTTAGGAAGCAGATATTAAGAGAATTATGAGAGCTTTCTATGGGGAAATATGAATAATGAGTAAAAGAGGTGAACAGAAGTGGGCAACCAGCGCATCAAACTGAGATGTAAGTCAGCTACCTTTGTAGAGAGATGGGAGAGGGAAGGGTGGAGGAGGACATGCCCCAGTCATCAATGCAGTTCTGAGGGTGTCACCAACCCAGTGGGGAACTCCAGAGTGAAGATTAGACCAAGAAGTGTCCTGCATTGGGCAGGCAGGGACTGGCTCCAGTCCCCTTGCCATGTCTAGGCACTGAGGAGAGCATGGCCTGAGTGTGAGGCTACAGGTACATCCTAAAAGTGCAGCAGCTGGAGGCTGTCTGCCTACTGAGGCTGGGCAGCTCGGTGATCCAAGCAGGCACTCACGTAACTGCCACAATGGTATAAACAAAAGCTCGCTGGTAGGAAAGAATAAAGTGCAGCAACAGTTTATATAATGAGTGTGCATGCCATCCTGCAGACTCAGAGCTCTTTTTTCAAATGCTTGGAAGATGTCTAAGAAGCTATCTGCCATTTTTCTTTATTTGCATCATTTACCTAGTCCTAAAACTGCATTATTTTAGAGATAACAGTCCAAGCATACATTTTGATTAGGGTGAGAATGTGATTTTGGCTTGCTACTGGAGAGGCAATGGTATTCAAATAACCAAACTTACTCTTCTAAGCTCTTCATTTATACATCATTCATTCATTTGCTTAATCAATATTTACCACAACAGAAATGTAGGTTCAAGTCTGAGCAAAGGAACGATTGTTCTAGGAACTGTGTGTATTTTAGAAAGTCTAAACATTAGAATATTAACAGAGTGTATTAGCACATGAACCTGGGGATTTTGACAGGGGACAGATTTCGAGGAGCTTTATATTTTCTGCCACAGCATTTACATTTTATCCTGAAAGTGGAGAGCCCTGCAAAAAATTTACGTATGAGAATGACAAGATCAAGTTGGTGGTTTAGAAGGAGTGCTCTGGTTGCCAGGTAAAGGAAAAGGCATGCACGTAGACTCTAATTAGGAACTTCTAATCATAATCTAGAAGAGAAAGATATAAATGAAGATATTTTCAACAGGTTTAGTGACAAATCAGGTGTGGAATGATAAGGAGAGGGAGCAGACAAGGTGGCATTATATTCGTGGGCTACATCTTTGCAGCTGGAATGCTGTGGCCTGTAATCACCTGCATCAGCATCATGGAGCTCATAAGAAATGCAGCCTCAGTCCCCACTCCAGACCCACTGAATTAGAAACTGCTTTTCCCCTAAGATACACAAGTGGTTTGTAGGAACATCAAAGCTGGAGAAGCATTTGTCTAGGTCAAGGTTCATGAAACTTCCTAGAAAGGGCTAAGACAGTACATATTTTAGGCTTTGTATGTATAGTCTCTGTTGCTCCTATATTGGCCATTTATTATAGCATAAAAGCAGCCATACACAATACACAAATGAATGGATGTGTTCCAAAATGCTCTTATTTATGGACACCAACATTTAAATGTTATATAATTTGCACATCACAAAAGCTTCTTGTTTTGGCTTTTTACAACCTTTAAGAAACGTAAAGCCATTCTAAACTCCTGAGCTGTATCAAAACCAATATCACGGGCCATATTTTGCTCCCAGGCCATTTTTGCCAACACTTTGTGAGTGAATGAGCAGTGGGCCATTTACAAATGCAGGGAATACAGGGAGAGGAACAAGTCACTGGCAATATATTATGAGGCTTATAGGGAGGGGTTATACCACCTTTTAATTAAATAAATATAGATATTGAAGAGCAAACCAGCTTAATTAGGAAGCTTTCATCATTTCATTATGGAAAAGCTTACCTGTTCTTCATGTCCCTGGCTAACGTCTTTACCCACTGTATTTTTTCGCTGTTGAGGATAGACAAAGCCAGTTCCACACACTTCATCCAGCTGGCATTCAAGTAGTATTTGATTGATGTCATTGAAACAGGTTATTCAATCTGGTTAATTAGTAATTTCACACAAAATTATAGGGAATGTCATTTTTTATGCTCACTGAAGAATTACTTTTACTTCTATATTAGACAGTAGCCATATTTCAGGTAAAAGCAGAATAAATGTGACTTAATTTATCAGATTTTCCATGTGGATGTTAGTTATGATGTGTTAATGCCTGGTCCTTTCATTTTTTTCCTCTTCAATCTCACAGCTTTCTCCATCTCCGGTGAAAACAGCCAAGTGGTAATGATTGCCATTTCAGCGGCTGTGGCAATTATCCTCCTCACAGTCCTCACCTATGTTTTGATTGGAAGGTGCGTTCACAGTCTGTTTTATGGCTTACTTTCATTATTGCTTTGCTTCCCCTCACCAATTGCTGTTAAAAATCTGAAGAGTGTGGTCAATAATGTACTTTAACCCATAGGAATGTCCCCATTTGTATTGTAGATCTTTGTCCTCCCTTTCTTTTGTTTCTTCATCTTTAGTTTTGATTTTATTTTCCCATTAAATTTCAGCCCCATTCTCCAATACACATCTCTTCTCTCTTTTGACCTCATTCCTACTTTTTACCTTTTTCCCCCAATTATCCCTTCACTCTTCAAATACACCCCAGATTTCCCTGATGCTTTCTCACCCAGAACACTGGTAACACAGCACAGCACTAATCACTAACAATGGAGACTTTACCCTTCATTCATTCTAACGGCAGTTGTTAAAAAAATACTATAAACACTTTCTAAAGCCATTATAAAAACTCAACTGAAGGGGTCTGCACAGTGGGAAAGCAACTCTACGTGTCTTCTCATTAGGCAGCTTTCCAGGGTCCCCAGAGAAAGGGGCTTTCTATAGAGGACTGAGAAAATATGAAGTCATTAAATTTTCACTAAAGCATTTAATTGTTTGAGGAACATGCTTTATTTTATTTATTTTACTTTTTTGCTTTGCAAATTCTGAACATAGATAGTTGTTTTAAGTATATTTTCTTTCTGTGTTCTCTTTCCTTAATTTACCTCTAGGTTCTGTGGCTATAACAAGTCAAAACATGGGGCAGATGAAAAAAGACTTCATTTTGGGAATGGACATTGTAAGTTTCTTAAGTGTTTTGGTGTATGGGTTTTACCATTTCGGTTATAGCAGTTGTTTACAATTGGGTAATAACCCCCTGACCAAGAGAATTCAAAAGCAGTTTTAAGGAAAAAATGCCAAATTATTTTAAACAGAGAAAGAAATTCATGACTCTGCATTAAGTAATTTTGCATGCCACATTTAAGCAGACTTAAGCTAAAGTTAAGGGTAACCTGTGGTTTATATTCAAATAATGCACGCAATGCAGAGTGGGTACTATAGTCAGCTTGCATAGCTAAAAAGGCAAAGCATATTTTCAATTTCCTTGTTACTAGTCCTTTACTAAATAAATAGGAGCCGTTTCCCTTTCCCAAGTGACAGGTAAATATAAACAACCTCTGTTTATGTAAAATGCCTTACTTACTCCATTTCGTCAACCAACCAGGAGAGCGACTTTAGAATAAACTGTTTATTTTGGAGTTACATGATATCTAATTGGTAGGAAAGCAAGCACTTTTCCCTCATATGTTAATACCAAGCAATTTAATCTCTTTTAAAATATTTTCTAAAAGAAATACTGTTTTAGGAAATAAAGTGTTTATGTCTAATAAAAACATTCATTGTATTTTCTTCTGGTGAAACGAATCATCCCAGTTGCTTTGCTTTTCCAGACTATGGCTCAGTTGAATGTGGCAATTACTAACCAGTGGCATTAAAGGTAATAGCATGTTCTCATAGAAATTAGTATGGAGACGGTACTCATGCTATGTGCCTCAAATAACCTCAATATAACTAGTGTAGTCTTGTAAACATTACTTTCTCTGGCATTCACTAGTGCCCTCTAAAATTATTTTCAGCTCGACATGTTACTTGTTTATAGTCTTGGTTTTGCATCTAAAAATTATAGCTTTAGCTGTAACTCAAGTAAAAACTTGATTACCTGTTGCTAACATGCAGGAGGAATACAGTAGCTTGAAAAAAATGTTTTCCAAAAATGTGAATTGTGGTGATATCGACACAATGCCAGAGTTTAGACAGAGTATTGTCTGTTTTGTCCACCTCATTGCTGTCATTATAGAATGATTCACAAAAAAAGCCAAAATACTATATACTATGAACCTTCTTAATATCAATATTTTATCATTTCAGATTAGTTAAATTACAAACTCAAAAGCCTTCAAATTATACATAAACAAATTACAGGATGGTTGTCTGGCTTTTTTTTTTCTCCTTTCTTTCTTTTTTTATGGTCCCACAAAACACTGAAAATTGCCATGCATTCCTTTGGATTAAATTGCTTTTAATTTGAGTTGGACAATCAATGTAAATATTGTTTTTAGAGCAAGACCATACTGAACTGTTTTTTTATATGGGGATTATAAATCTCATGAATTTGGATCATTGATAAATTCCTGTGTGCCAATTGTAAGTAGTTTCTTTACATTCAGATCTCTTTTATCTGTTGGTTTTTACGGTAAAGTTGGTTGAAACTTCAATATTCTTCAAATGTGCAATATCCTGATGATAGACAAACAAAAAAGAAATTATTTTATCCTAGCTCCAAAGGCATAAAGTAACTTACATGCATGTCATAAACTTTCTGTGTCTTAATGCTACAGCTGGTTTATTTCAGACCGTTTATTTGGTATTACTTTAAAAAGCTCTAGCTATGAACTATTCCCTCTAGCCTTGTTACAAATCCCATAATATAGCTTCAAAAGGAAAGAAATGTGTTTCACCTTCTAAGATCCTGTCCCATTGCCCTCCCTGGCTGGGCCTTCTTACTTTTTGCAATCCTGAGGGCAACTCATGCTGGTAAAATGGAAATGTAAATTATTGTGTTTGCACAGAACGAGCTGTAAAGTAGTGCAGCTTAACACATGTGCATGTGTTTATTATCTGGTTTTCTTGACACAGCGCAGTCACTCTGTGTGTTGCCCTTAATTATTAGTGCAAGGGGATTATGTGCCTTGCATCCTGACTCACCTGATTTCTGGAATCTCTGGGGTCAGCAGTTAAAAATCAACAGCCAAAGCTCCCACAGTGAACAAGCCACTTTACTTGGGGATGTGTGTGCATTTACGCTTGTACTGCTTCCCCAAATGCCATGTGGATACAAAAGCTACTTTTTTAGTTTAATTAATCATGATAAATTTGATTGATTTTATTTGAGGATGATTACTTAATTTTCAGATTATTTAGTAATACATCTCTCCCTAGGGCTGGCAGGTTTTGAAGGGTAACTCAAAAGCACAATTTCAAGGTTTTTTAAAGCCAATACTTATTTAAAATAGTTGATACATTGCTTCTGATAACTCATTTTATAATCTTCTCTGTAAATTCTGATGTCAGTAAATCTTTCACAAGGTGATTTCCATAAGTTCAGACAGGAAAGGCATTTGTAATTGTTTACCAGAAAAAAAAGGATTATTTAAAACTTATTCTTAAAGTATTTTGTTCTTGAAAAAGAATACTAATTTTTCTTCTTTTACTACCATTTCTTTACCTTACTATTACTGGGGAAAAAAAGCAAAAACTGGTTAAACAAAAATCATAGCCTCCATTTTATGTGAGTCTTCATTAAAATGTAACTAAATTGTCTTAATGACAACAAAAATAATCTGACACAGCTTTTTTTCCTAACGTCTTTTAGAACGTGTATAGTTACTTTTCTTGTTTTTCTTACTCCAAAACTTTTCTTTGTATGATAGTTTGAAAGTATGTTATATTTCCTTAATCTGTTTGCCTCTTTTAAGAGTAAACTGTTTTAGTACTGACTTTGCTAGGAGTTTTGGTGTAGTAATAAATTATAGTAAACCACTGTACTAAAGAGTGACTCAGCCCTATTTTTATGAGGCAATAATGTTTATAATAATGGCAAAAACATGTAAACTGATCTGTGAGCTCAAAAACTTGGCATTTCTGACCCCAAATTCTGTGTCCAGGAAACCTCAATGATATTAATAATTGTAAATAAACCTTCTTACATAAAAATACTAATGATGACATTTGGGGACACTCATATTAGGCCCATTAGTAGCAAAGTTTCAAGAACTTTCTTTTCTATGGTGTCTAGCTAATTATTTTTGCTGAGCTAGTCCAAATAGAAAAACTTCAGAAGTTATTGCACACATAGTTTGCCCAAAGCAATGGCAAAGGAGTTGCCGTTTCCCCATTTTGGTGGGTATTGACTCCCCAAGCTGTCAGTGTCCTCACAAACTATCCACACTTTGCCTCAGGACAAAGAGTTGCACCCCTTTTACAATGTCAGTGTCAACACCAGGAGGAAGTAAAAGCAGCATTGGTAGCCATTCTTTTCCTATGTCGTATTCACTCCTGTGTCCTCCATTCACTCCCTCACACTTCCAGGTCATTCTGCTGTCTCACAGTCATCTGAAGAAGTAGTGAGGGAAATAGTGTTTCAGTAGCATAAATTATTATGCGGTATAACCATAGCATTCACAAAGTTGTACTGTAGAACCACATGCTGATCATGTGTAGCCAAACTCTGAAATCCTGGATTCACTTGCCTAATGTACACTGTGCTGAAGTCTCTCAGAACAACTGCTGTCATCACAGTTTCTACACCTCCATCATGCAAACCACCACACTGACGCAAAGGAGTCTTCAGTTGTCGTAGAACATCGGGCTGCAAGTTGGCCAAAAGCTTCTTTCATCACAAAGTGATATGAGAAAAGATAAAGTTTTACTTTATTTGTTACTTTAGGATAAAATTATGATTTAATATTCTAGTGTGATTAATAAACATATATCATCATTAATCAACCAAGTCCCTTGCTAAAACAATGTCACCAATATTTTTTCTAACTAATGTTACCAAAATTAAAAAGAAAACCAATGATATCAGTGCATATACTATGGGAGTTAAATTACAATTCCCTTAATGTTAAAGCATGTTTATGTACTTTAATGGATCTTAAGCTCACTTTTAAAAAATTTAGCTTTCTTTCAAAGAAAGGTTATTGAACATTCCAAATTGCTTCTGATGTGAGCTGTTTGTCCAAATGATATGAACCTTATTGATATTAAACAAAATCCAAAATGATCTCCTATCTTTTGTCTTTGCTCTTTTGGTTACAGAATACCATGAAAAATCTCCATGTTTAAAATAATTAAATAAATAATTATAAAGATTTATGTTCAATAAGCTATAAATATAATTTATATTTTGGATTTAGCTCCGTAGCATCATTATTAAATCTATAGAGAATACTTACCTTTAACTATGCTGAAAAGCTACATGGCAAGACTTCAGTTAATTGATGCTATATTACTATATACATGTAATGCCCATGTTATATATACAAAACTTCATGTCTTAAAGTTGACCTATTATTGCCATGCAGGATTTTGACTGTGAGTATATTTTGAAAAAAGCAGAATAGTGTCAGACAGAAGACATACCAGTTATATCCTTCAATTAATTTATCTGTAATTGCAGCAATTATTGCATCTTATAGAAGTATTTCACAAACTTCCAGTTATTGTCAGATGTGGTATTGTAATTGATACTTGGTTACTCTTTGTAGAATGATAAAGGTGCAATAGGGTGATAAAGTTCACTCACTAGTGCTATGAGTAAGCATTACGGGACCTACAACAATTCTAACCCACCTTCTTCTCTGTAAGATCCCCCTCTTTGAATGTCCATTTTCCTTCTACTGGTTTTGTAGAGAAAGATCATTATGGTTACTTTTTATGTTTCACTATGGGAAGCTTCTTTAATTAAGTTGGTCAACACTTAGTCCAACCTCTGCCGATATCTATGATATCTCAGAATAAATGAAAGATTGGTGTACTTCATAGTAATGAGGGTTATTTTTAACCAATAATGTTATAAAATTTGTTCAACAAAGGTTTTACAAATTCAGCTACAGTAATGTTTCTTTATCCTTCCCTTAAACAGTAAAACTCCCAGGTCTCAGAACTTACGTTGACCCACACACGTACGAAGACCCTGCCCAAGCAGTTCATGAGTTTGCTAAGGAATTGGATGCCACCAACATAGCCATTGACAAAGTCGTTGGAGCAGGTAACCACCACAGTAACTCTCACTGCCAGCCTAGTGCACTATTCACGAGTTTACAACTATGAGTGACAATCCTCCCTGGGATTTCTCCGGTTCTCAGGCCTATATATACAGTATAGGGGAAAGTAGGTTTACAGCTGCGAGCATAAGAAACACAGAATTTATGTTTGTATTATTATTTATAAATCATTATATTATTTTCCATACAAATAACTGTAAACCTACTTTTGCCCCACCTTTTATATTTTTATGAAAAAGGATATTATCTGATTTTATGATCAAAGGCAAGCAACAAATGAATGGAGTATTTAATGGAACTTAATGATTTCAAAGGTGCCAGATCTTCAGACACACAGTCAAGGGCCAGCTTTTCATTTACTAAATTTCAGAGGTGGCAGCAGCAGCTGGGGCTTCCTGTGGGCTTCCCATGGCTATGCTGATCAAGTGTCACAAAGACCATTTTGTTAAAGAGGGATAACAAGATAAAAGTGTGTTTTACCTTAAGTAAACCCACTAAGTGACTTTTTGGATTTGTGGAATAAAGGTAATTTTAGAATCCTCCTCAGAATTTAAAATCTGGACAGTACAAAATAAAATCATGAATGAAACATTTTAAAAACACAGGTTTCATGGCAACTACTTTCAGTGGGTAGTTTAAATAATGTGAAGTGCTCCATTTTAATGCTTACCTATAACTTTATACAGTATTAATTTATTTGTGTTGAAACTTGTTTCCATATAGACATCTCTTTGATTTATTCATAAAAGTGCTGTACCATAAATTCATAAATAAATATCCATGGAGTGATTATTTACAGCTGTTGCTTATTTTCAATGATAATTATAGAAATGTATAAAATAACAGTATTTTACACACTTAGGTATAAAATGTAAACATCCATAGTACATGCAGTGTTCATTTTAATCAAACTAATACTGAAAAGTAAAAATAAACAATACTGTACAATAATGGTTTTACATCATCTCATTCTTTAATATCACTCCAAAACCAGGCACAAACTAGTTATGTGTATGTAGAAAATAGAGTGAAAGATTGAAAAATTAGTTCATTGAATTTATGTATAACATACCAGAACACATTTTCTGTAACTACTATATTTATAACCAAAACTTCTTTATATAAATGTGCATATAATTTCCTCTGAATCTTTTTCTATGCACTGAAGCAGTATTTAGAACTCAAGCAGTATTTACTGTTTAAGAAGGATATCCTGAGTCATTTATATTATCTAAATAGAATAATAATTTACCGAATTTTCTCCTCCAAAAGGAGACAACTTGGGATGGTCAACATACAATATAACATACAGATAACATATTACAGAATTAAAAAATTATCTAATTTTCTCATTGTCATATCATCTTAAAGGTCACATGTGTAGGCAATATTAAAATATTCAGCTAGTGATTCAAAAAAGCAAACTAGTTACTTTTTTTTCACACTCTAAGACTTAAGAATAAATGCATTTACCATATACCTATGTTTATTCAATTAAAAGAGTTATATATTGATTACTCCCTTCCATTGGTTCAGTGATGCTTGTGAGCTGCTCCATTGTGCAGAGGGTTTTGGTCATTTTTTAAATGTTGCCCTCAAGACTGTTCCCCATTGTGGAAGCTGTAAAAGCATATACCACACAAGAACTCTCAGTACTCAGATGGAGAGGAGGAAACACCCATTTGTGTTCAGCCAGTGTTCAAAAAGCCAGACAGACACATTGGGATGTTGAAATTTTGAGACTGTCCTCTTAAGTAAAAGGTTAGATATGCAGATGTTATTCACATAGCCAGACGTCTATTACACAGTGGTGTGAAACAAAGCACACTCATTAGAAATGGTATCTGATCAATAAGATAAAGGGAAAGCCTATCTATACAAAACTCACTTAATCCCTTATGAAATACTAGGACAGATCCTGTTTTTTTCCTTTTTCTAGAAAATTAGATGTATGTATATTTTCAGGGTTTTACAGACAGTGTTCTCATTTGACGCATTAAAGACAACAAAACAGTGCCTGTTGTCTTTTACAGGCGTAAAAGGCGTATCAAGGTGTTACAAGGTGTATCTTTAACGTCAGTTATGTTTTTCCTAGAAGATTTCAGTATAATATACACACTCAATTCTAGTCTGTCTTGATTAGCCTTTAAAGGTATGTCAATATCAAAATAAACTATAAAATCAAGATTTTTAAAACATTTTGTTGTAAACTTTTAAATATCTATAAAAATTGATGAAACTGTGCAAGAATCTGATTAGCAACTATCATCTACTGTTAAAAGGCAGAATATCTTGGTCATGATAGAAATTTTACAGTCAGTTAAATATACAGAAAGACTTTATATGGGCTAATTCTCTAATTTTCAGTCAAGGATTGTATACAAAAAAGTGAGTATAACAAATTTTTAATTTTGTTCCCTACTCTAACCATTATTTCAAAAATTAAATACTGAAATGTTCTGAAGGTAGAAAATATTTACGTAACTCCTGGTCTTTGCTAGGCATTGACATATATTTGGTTTTATTATCTTTTAGATAAGGATTGTTATCTTCATTTCACCAGATGAGGAAACAAAATCTAAAAATTTGAATGGCCCATGGTCACATAGTTATAAATTAGGAAACCAAAATTAGAATCTTGTACTTGCCAACTTCAAAGTCCATGCTATACATTGATGATCATGATGTAAACTTTTTCTAAACTTTTGTGAGGATCAATTCGATAATTCATGTATAGTGCTTTGCTGATATACCAACTTCTTCTTTACATATTTTTATTATGATTCTTTTATTTAAAACAGTAAAAGGAGAATGGGCTTTGAGATTAGTACAGAGAGTCATTCTAATTAAATCCTTTTTTTCTCTAAAAAATTTTACTTTGAGCAATTTTATACTGTGCATTTTAAATCAGAGTACAGCATTCTAATTCTCATAAACCACACTTTATTTCAAAAGACAATTTACTGCACTTATTGAATCAAAAATAAAGCAGTATTTTTCCAAATGATCTACCATTAACTGTGCTTTCACATAGAAATAACAGAATCTAAATTTTCTTTCTTATAGGGGCAAAGTAGCTGAATGAGACCCTGTAAAACTTGGCTAAACTGGAAGATCAGGCATTACATTCACCCAGTTTTTTAAACTTTTAATAGTTCTTTTAAGTTTTTATGAAGAGAATTAAAGTAATGCTTAGCATTTCTTTGTCTTATATAATATATTGGTGACCATTTTCTTGTATCATGTAATAATCACATTTCTAAATTTTATAGTTTTAAAAAATTAGCATCATTGAAATACCACTTTCTGGACTTTGAAGATAGAAATATGTGTACATATGTGGAACTATCCCAGTGAGAACAGAGAAGGAACTGTAATCAGCCCACTTGAATTCAAATTCTTCTCTTTGATTGCCCTAGTGACGACCTTTTACAAAATGTTCTCCTTTAAAATACATGTCCAATAAAATATGAGATTAACCTTGCTATCACCGTCCTCATCACAACCTTCTCTTCTAATATTAAAATAGTATTTGACATTTTGAAAGCACTTTTATATTTATTCTTCAATTTGATCTAACTCTTGAGAGGTAAAGCAATAACTTATTCTTCTTAGAATGGGTTTGAACTGAAAGAGGAAAATAGTAATTAACATTCAGCATTTACTATGTGTCTGCATGCACTTTTCTAAATGCTTTACCTACATTAATTCCTTTAACTGAACAAAATCCTTGTTAAAGACACAGTTCGTGTTCCTATATAATAGATAAGGAACCAAAAGCACAGAGAGATTAAGGCACTCACTCAAAATCACACAGCTAAGTGACAGAGGCAGAATTAGACTCTAGGTGATTTGGTTCCAGAATCCATGCTCTACCCTGTACTGTCTGTCCTATAAGCTGACAAGTGACTTGTCAGTTAGAATAAAGGGTGATGGCATCCCAATTTAAAACATGACTAATTATGACACATTGACTCATGATAATGGCAGAACTTTCAGAAAATGAAAATTCATTATGGATGCCTCCTTATAGTTTGCCTAAAAGTAATGTTTATGGAGTAAACTGGAGTTCTGGGAAGGTTCTTATAGCCTTGTATAAGAATAGAAATTCTTACTCTTCCTTACAAATTCTAATAATGATTTACTTAGCATCATAATTTCTTCTCCTAATACATACCTATAATGATATATTCTCCATTGGATTTAAAAAGACTAATGAGTGGTCTCAGGTTCTGCCCCTGATTCTCCCTATCACACTATGGAACACTCTAGCTACAGAATTTGCTATTTTCTCTATATTTCTCCAAAGGGAAGAAATTAGATTTGCCTTGTTTACCATTACATATATGTTTCTCATAGTGTCTATCATACTGGTGCCAATTGATGAGTATTTATTAAGTAATGTATGAATAACTGCTTTTGGAGCTTAACTCAATTTCAAAAGTTGTAGCATAAGTCATTGTTTTGAAAATGGGGGTGAGACTGGATTCCTAAGTAAGGGTTATATCTGGGGAAGTTTAGAGCTCCCTGGAGAGAAAAGTCATTTTTAGTGATGAGCTAGTAAATAAATAGGGCAACTTGCTGCTTTTGTGGGACAAACCACTTATTTGGACAAAAAATTAAAGAAACATTGCACTCAGTGACACCTTCTCTCTGGTGACCAATGAGTGGGGCCTGCGGCTCATATAAAAGCTCACAGTGAGAACATGGGACCAAGAATGTTACTCTGTTCCACAGACATTCTCAAAAGTAAACATGTATTTTCATCTTTTTCAGAAAAACATCTTATTTTATATTTCAAAAAATATTTTAAACATTGTATAAAACTGACTAATAATTGATGCAACATTAAGACTTCATGAATACAGAGCATGATATGTATGGCGCTCCTTTGTGGTTATTACTATGGCAGCAGTGGGGACAGAGAAATGAATGTAAAGGGTCTCTGCTCTCTGGAAGCTAAAAATTTACTGAAAGAGCAAATGTTTTCAATGGCAAAGTATATGAAGATAGTGCTCAAACTAGTTCTAGGTAATGTTCTACTGATTGCATTACACTATTTAAAAACCAGCAACACTTTATAATCAACAAATTCTGGATTAATTGTTCATTTAAGACAAACTTTTTAAGACATTGAATCTAAGAAAATATTCCCACAGTGATTTCATGGATTAAAATGTGGTATTGTTTATTTGATACTGTTGTATTATTGTTCTCCTTCCAGAAGCACAGAGAACTTTACAACTAGTTTGTCAATAATGTAGTATAGTGCTGCTTCAATAAAATGTATTGATAACAGATGGTTTCCTTTTCATTTTCAGAGGGTTCAAGTATATAGCTAAATCGGCTTTCTTAGTAAAAACAGAATATTTAAAAACATCTGAAATTTAATCCAATGCACAATGCATAACATTCATGCTGGTCTGTTGATTCCCTGAGGAAGTGGTAGCTATGAGAACAAGAATTGAAAAGTCTCATAGATATAGTTTTCAACTGTCCTTTTATTCTTTCATATTGCATTATTCAATGTGCTACTTCAAAATATATGAGGCTTATCACAAGGTCCATTTACTACTAGAGTGTGGATACCTGGAGGTTCTTAGGGAGTGTTAGATTACCAACTTCTAAAATGATTTGGAGTGTACATCTGAAAACCAAAGGTATAAATATTTTGAATGAAATTGTTAAAAGGAAACAATTGTTCTCTATTAATTTTTATTATATAATTTTTCTTGTTGGTTTGTTCTTTTGCATTCAAACAGGTGAATTTGGAGAGGTGTGCAGTGGTCGCTTAAAACTCCCATCCAAAAAAGAGATTTCAGTGGCCATCAAGACCTTGAAAGTGGGCTACACTGAAAAGCAGAGAAGAGACTTCCTGGGAGAAGCAAGCATTATGGGACAATTTGACCATCCCAATATTATTAGACTGGAGGGAGTTGTTACTAAAAGTAAGTAAAGTTGTAAGATCAACATTCGTGTATGTTGAGCAGAGGTCATTTAAACCTGAACTGAATCACTTAAGAAATTTGATTTTTTTAATAAGTATCTAACAGTTCTAACAAAAAGACCAGTTTAACAACATCATGCCTTTCTTTGACAGAAAAACAGATATTTAGCTAGTATTATATTGACAATGATCTTTACAAAACCTTAAAATATTTAGGAGTTAACCATTAGGTTATATTAACACATGCTGATTTAAAAATAGGTACAAAATGAATTTTTGAGAACTTTCTGTTATGTAGAGTTGCAAGACACAACAATGATTCAATTTGGACCGAAATTGTCAGGAACTCCCAGCTAGCTGCCATTTCTTTTACTGTTCACCAGTTCCATTTAAGCTTCCAAATCTTTACCAACCACCCCCATCCTGGCTTTAAGAAAATTATAAGAGTTTGTGGAATACTTCAGAGCAGTAAAGATTGAGACCATATTGGACCCAAGGCATTTTCTTGGTTGTCTGTGGATTTCAAACAATTCTGATCTACAGTCCCAGATGAATTCGTGACTTGTCTGGGGAAGCTCGGGCTCACAGCCTGTGATAGAGATCTGAACTATTTCCTTGATAGTTTCTCCAGCCAGACTCAAAAAGAATCCCATGAGGAAACTATGTGATTTTTGGCTCCAATCCCAATGAAAAGCTCTTCAGAATGTTCTGGGATTTTTTTTTCCTTAAGATTTTAGAGCACAAAATGAAGAATAAGCTAAATTGGCAGCAAACTCTTTAGAATGAAAGGCAACATAGCAGGGAATTTAGCATCTTTAATTCACTGGCACCACATTTTCCTATTTTGTGGTTACCAATAGACATTACACATTATATTTTTTACACTGATATTTTTCTTTAACATTACACAGAGCACTTTCCTAATGGCAGTAATACCTATTCACATTTTAGTGTGATTAAAAAGGCAATTTCTCCCTCAGAAAAGCATGATATAATTGCAGTATACTTTGATATCCTTTAGAGTTTTCTTATATAATAAATGGGATTAAGAATTTAGCAATGTGAGAGAACTTAATCATAAAGTATAAGCTATATTAAGTCATATAAGAATAATTTTCCTCTGTACTACTAAAAATTAGGCCTAGTACTAATAGCAACACTGAAATATTTTCTGACATAAAAATCTTTAAAATATTTTTCATTAATAGTCAAAACACTATTGTAGTAGTGAGGACTGGGAAAATGTATGAATCCTCTGTTCCTTACTGGTTAGAACAGACTACTTGACATGGGATAGAATGGTGTCTCCATGGTGCTTTAGGACTCAATTAGTCATTATTCTCCCCCACAGCATACCTACCAAGTCACCATTCTTCTATCTTCAACCCACTGGGAGAGGAAATTCACTTACACTTATGCAGCCATTCTTCTTTTAACTCTCAATTTTTACAACCTTTTCTTTATGAGTTGACTATTATGTGTCCACCATTGTACCATGGAGATTATTTTATACTTACTACTATCCTGTGAATTAGATATAACATAATTTTACATTTGAACAAATGATAACTAAAGAACAAGTAGCTTGTCTAACTAGAAAGTGCTAGATATGGCATTAGTAACTTGATCTGTTGGTTTCACTTTTTTCATTGATTCTAGACAAAAATGTGTTTCTACTTTTTATCATTGCATTTGACTTATTATTTTATATCTTGAATTATCTTCCATAACATTTTCAATCATAACAGGACATCCTCCAAGCTTTAAAAACTTTCTGTGGGTAATTAATAAACTTTAAGAACTAAAACAAAATGTAAACTCTCATAGAAACCAAGACCTATGTTATTTGATAATTAGTGATTAAAACAGAACCTGGATCAATTATAGGTTCTTAACTTACCAATGTTCAGGAATAAAAGACTGATTGAATGAGTGAGTGAGTGAATGAATGAATAAGAAATAAATAAGAGAACATTGTCTGCTACCAATAGGTCTTTCTTCAGTGTTGGTTCATGTACTGAATGCATGTTTCAAAGTGGAATTGTATAACTGCTTAGTCACTCAGGGAGCAATGGAGAAGATGACTACATTTTAACAGGAGCAGAATTTTCACCTAATTCTCCAATGCCTACAACTAAGAAAATGTAAGATACACATAACTATCAAAGTAAATATTAGGTTTACATTGAAACTTACTGATAGCCTCTCATATAGTACCAAGTGTGAGCTGATTTTTTTTTTTGCCTCCAGTGTTAAGAATTTTTGAAGAAAAGTTGTTATATTTTACTAGTTGCTTCTTATAATTCATTTACTGAGTGATAAGCAACATTACACTATAATATTTTTGGCAGTTTTTATTGAGATATAAAAATAAAATAATCAAATATAAATTATGGTCACTTAGCAAAGAAATCCATAAATCGATCCTCAAACCAAAATGAAGGGAACAAATGCATTGAGAAAAATATTAAATATTGTTGGTAATATGCATTTAATGACTTTTTTTTCATTTAATGACTTTTCAAGTCTGATTCTGTAAGTTTAATATGAATTACAACTGCCTTATTCTTAGAGTGAAAATTCTAAGTTTGATCTATCTCCCTGGTTAAATAGGCATGTAAGAAGTTGCCAGATCTGACTGTATAACTCCCAGTCATCTCATAGTGCAGGTATTAACAGGCTGTGCATTAGATTTTGAGCTTCTTCAGTGGCATATTTAAAAGCTTTAAGTCTGGCACTCTGAAACACCTGAGAGAAGATGGAAATGCCTTAGAATAAAATTAATATGTTGCATTTAATATGAAAATAAGACAGTTTTGTCACCAGAAGAAATTATTAAATCCACTTCTATTATTTTCTTTGTCTCTTGAGATTATACAATGGCTAAAGCAGTCTGCCTTCAAAGTCCATACACACTCATACACATACATACACAGAACTAAGGTGATACAGAGCTTATGATTTAATGAGAAAAACTGTATTTAAAGAAAAAATATAATTGGTGTTTGGATTAATAATGAGAGGATGAAAATTCAAGTCCTGACTCAACCACACTGATGACAAGACCTCTGGTCAATCAGACCACTCATAGAGACTCACTTTCTTCACTTGTAATATGGAAATAGCAGTGCTATTTTACTATTTCCAGATACTTTAAGATCAAATAAGATTACATAGACATACCTTATTATGTGGAATAAAGCCATGAACATCTAAATTACCACTTCTGCTGTGTTTAAGATTTTCACCAGTTCATCTGAAGTACAAAAGGAAATGTTTGAAAACAATTCTTTTTTTTGCTCAAAGATAATTATTTTTATTATTGATAATAAATATGTGCTTTGATATATGAAGTCTATTATAATGTAGTATTTGCAACTCATTTAGAGGAAGCCCTTTATTCGATTATAATATTTTCATTTATTTAAATTGAGCCATAAACAATGTTAATGGTACATTTCGAGCCTGATGCTCTTAAACAAGAGAAGGTGAGAGAGTCTCTGATCTCAAAGTAGTAGAAATCTGAAGGCACAGTCTCTGCTTAGAGCTTGGCACTAACATGTGTTATCAATTTTAGTAGAAGTTCAAAAAGATGGAACTTTTCTAAAGCAAATGTTTGATATTTCTGCCATCACACCATTAGTCAAACAATGTTCAGGCTCCAAAAAGACCTCCATTGGCCACTTTTCACTTAGTGAAATAGAATGAATTATATTAGACATGACTGTTGTGTTTTTATTGTTATTTGGGGAGGGATTATTTACTGATTTTTAAAAAAAATAATATGCAACTTAACTATGAACTTGAATTATTAAGGAATGTCATAAGCAGAATATTAAAATGATGTCTTATAATTAAACATTTCTATATTTGTGCAAACATCCACTTTACACATGCAAAAACAAACTTAGTTATTTGTTCCCACCTTTCTATCTTCACCACATATGACAAAGAAACATTATTGGAATAACATGTAATTCTTTAGTGACAATGCCAAATTCTGGCTATTTTCTGTTTGCTTCTCTTCAAAAGTTTTCTTCAGCACTTATCTCAAGGGTACTATTCTCCATGTCATATTCTTTTTTAAAATAATTTGAACATTTTATTAATTTATTTCTATTTTTTAACATTTTTATTGTTATTCTATTAAGTTGTCCCAGTTTTTTTCCTCTTTTCCCTTTTCTGTCCATCCCACCTCCTGCTCCAGCAGTCAATTCTCACACTGCTGCCCATGTCCATGGTCATTCATACAGGTTCTTTGACTAGTCCCTTCCCCTTCCTTCCACCAGTTTCCTCCTTCCACCTTCCCACTGATCCCTGTAAGTCTGTTCCATGTTTCCATGTCTGTGGTTCTATTTTGTTCATTTGTTTATTTTGTTCATTAGATTACTTTTATAGGTGAGATCATATGGTATTTGTCTTTCACCAACTGGCTTATTTCACTTAGAATAATATCCTCCAGTTCCAGCCATGCTGTTGCAAAATGTAGGAGTCCCTTCTTTTTTTCTGCTGCGTAGTATTCCATTATATATATATATGTACCACAGTTTTTTGATCCACTCATTTACTGATTGGCACTTAGGCTGTTTCCAGAACTTGGCTTCTGTATATAGTGCTGTTATCAACGCAATCCCTATTAAAATACTAATGGCATACTCCACAGATCTAAAACAAATATTTCAAAAATGTATATGGAACCAAAAAAGACTATGGATATCCTCAGAAATCTTGAGAAAAGAATAAAGTAGGAGGGATCACAATACCTGATATGGAACTATACTACAAGGCCACTGCAATCAAAATAGTCTAATACTGGCATAGAAACAGACACGTAGATCAATGGAATAGAATAGAGAGCCCAGAAATAAACCCATGCCTTTATGGTCAGTTAATTATTGACAAAGGGGGCAAAAGCATACAATGGAACAAAATTAACCTCCTTAATAAGTGGTGTTGGAAGAACTGGACTGGTCCATGCAAAAAAAAATGAAACTCAACCAC